AAAAGAGTTGCTCACATGAATGCAGTTTGCAACATCAAGCCCTTCATGATCAGTATAACCCTGGGCATTGGGCTGATATGGCAACCTTGATTTACAAGAGTAATCCTATTAGCATTAAAGGGACAATTCACATGAATGAGGACTGCGAGAACGAGCCCCTTAGGAGCAACTATCACCACAGTTATGTATATAACCTCACTTAGATCACAGCAGTTTTCAAATGTTGTACAGACACTTTATGCCGCTACTGAACTTTTAAAAGAAAACAGACCTTGAGCACAAGTTCACTTCTGCCTTATTGACTACAGCCCTGGTTTTGCACCCTACTTACAGACACTTCCCCTCCCCTCCCACATCCTTAAGTGGTTCAGGGTTTGCAAGAAATACGGGCTTCAGCTTTCCTTCTTTTTTTTTTTTTGTTTTCCTTCTTTCCTCTCTTTGCTTTCTCTGTCCTCCCTCCCTCCCTCATTCTCTCCCTTCCTTAGAGTTGGGGGAATTAAACAATGGTAGGAAAAAATTAGTAAGGTGTTGGCCTCAAAACTCTAAGGCTCTGAACGCATAAGCTTTCCCAATTTCAAAAGTTTGTTTAAGATGGCATATATCAACCTAAAATTCTATAATCCATAAAACTGAGAAATCCAAAGGAAAGGATGATTTCTGTAGAATGTCTGGATGCATTTCTGCTTCTTTTTATATTTACAAATCTAATGAAAATGGTCTTTCCCCAGGCTTCTCGGTATTTCCAAGTCTAGTTCTGAGAACTGCATATAAAACATTTGTTTTCAAGTACAATAATGTGAGTTTAGTTTAACTCTGTTAACTTACCTTCTTTTTATACTGGCTTCAGATACGAGTTAGTTTGAAACAAAAAAAGAAGGTAATAGAAAATAATTATTATTTATTGCAAAAGCACTAATTATGCTGTGTGAGGGGCATATATTATGTGCTAGGTGGTGTACAAGTAGGTATGAAGATACAATTTCTGCCTTGAAATAACAGTTATGAGCCACAGAAATGTTTCCAGTTTTTTTACAAATCCATTCCTTGGGAAAAGAATATCTGCAAAATTCGCACCCTCTTGCCCAGTGTTGTTACTCAACTCATCTGAAGTTGTTCCACTGACTTCAGCGGAAATACTATTTGCTGTGTGCTTAGGGAGAACAAAGGTTGCAGAGTTCAGGTCTTATAGTCAGGCTTAAACACAGTGCCGATTCCAAAGTCCTTGCTCGGGTGCATTGCCCCACGTCGGGAGATTAATAAGAACAGTCACAAAAGGTCTGCAAACACAGGCATTTACCTGGTGGCATGACGCATGCAAATGGTGCCCATGATGTTGAATATATGTCGCTAAGGGTAACTTTCAGTCATGATGCAGCTTTAAAAATTGTCTCACTTTCTGACTTTCTACATATCTTATATCTGAAATCTTTACTGTATAGCTCAGTACATTTGTCTGTATTTTTATCAGTCTTTTTTGTTATGAGCTTTTTAGTCAACAACTTTGTTAGGAGGAAAAGAGTCAGGATCAGTGTCATTTTCTCTGAAGAAGCCGTAAGAAGTTCTAATGTCTGGTTTTCTCCTTTCTTCACATTTTAGCGCATTGGCAGAAAAGACCCACGGCCAGTCCTGAAGTTTCTTTTTTTTCTCTTACGCTTTGCAGAACAGAACGATACGTATTGGCTCTAACAGCCCCCATGGTTCAGCGATACAAGCATTTTTGCCTTGGCTAAAGGTTCAAATCCGCCTAAACAATTCAGGTGCCCAAAGTATTGAGCTTCAACATACTTTAAGTAATATTTCAAGTAAAGCGCCTGGACCACCTAGGAGCTCGTGCGACCACCCTACGTGGGACATCTGTAACGAAGGTGAGCTGGGGTTGCCACCTTCGGTTTCTCTCCAGGATTTTAATACTGTCCCGAGGTCCGAGGATGCTCAAACTAGAGTTTTTTTGCGGTTTTTTTTTTCCCTTTCTTTCCCTCCTCCGGTTTGTTTGCTTGCTCTTCTCCCAGCTGACGCCCCTGCGGCCCAAGCCGGAGCCCCGCACCTCCCCGCGAACAAGCCC